CTAGCAACCTCAGCAAAGATGAGCGTTTTGAATTATATAAATTAAAAAAGAGGAATGATATTGTAGTTCTCTCAGCTGACAAAGGCAATGCTACTGTTATCATGGATAAAATAGAATACAACAACAAAATTAAAGAATTACTCGACGATGGTAGTTATACAAAAATAAAAAGAGATCCCACCAACAGCCTCGTCACACAAACCAACAAAATAATTTCTGATTCAACCGCATTAATTGATCAATCTAAACAGTTTTCGTTGAAACCTTCTGCTGCCAGGCCACCAAGATTATACGGCTTACCAAAAATACATAAAGTTGATACACCTCTTCGTCCCATAGTCTCTACTATCAGCTCCCCCACCTACAAACTAGCTCGTTTTTTGTCTGAAATCCTGCGTCCTTTCACTGGAAAGACCACCTCTGCGGTACAAAATTCTACTCACCTGGTATCAACAATCAAGGGTATTTCCCTGTCCCCAGACGACCTGCTTGTCAGTTTTGATGTAGTTTCCTTATTCACCAAGGTTCCTGTACCTGACACCATTGCAATCATTGAAGACTTGGTTCATCAAGGACTAAACACTGAGGTACCCCCCTGGTGAGACACTGTTTAACCAATACATACTTCACTTGGAATGGAACTTTCTACAAACAAACTGAGGGCACCCCAATGGGCTCCCCCCTTTCTCCAGTTATAGCTAACATTTTCATGGAGAAATTTGAGACTGACGCCATCCAGACTGCCACTCTGCGCCCAACCTTATGGAAGAGGTACGTGGATGACACTTTTGTCATCTGGCCACATGGCCGGCCTGCTCTAGACAAATTCTTCGACCACATCAATTCCATACACCCAGCCATCAGATTTACCATGGAAGTCGAAATAGATGGCAAGATACCTTTTTTGGATGTCCTAATTAAAAAGAGACCTGATGGTTCAATGAGCCACTCTGTCTACAGGAAAGCTACCCATACGGATGCTTATCTGAAACCGGATTCCCACCACCATCCATCACAGAAGAATTCTCTCATCAAGACTCTGTATCATAGAGCCCAATGCATATCCGACCAGGAACACATAAGCAGTGAACTCAAGCACGTACACCAAGCTCTTAGGGCTAATGGTTACTCCGACTATACAATCCGCAAAGCTATCACTCAAACCATGAAGAAGAACCCTCTTGAGGAGCCTTTCAAAACCATCACTTTACCCTACATTGCTGGGATCACAAAAAAGATCTCCAAAATCTTGAATAAACACAAGATCCAGGTCCGTTTCAACACATTACATAAAATCCGTGATCTGGTTCCGTCTGTAAAAGATGTGATTCCGGACATACAATACCCTGGTGTCTACAAACTAAGTTGCCTCTGTGGTAGTAGTTACATTGGAGAAACCAAACGCCATATCTCGGACCGCATTCGTGAACATAAAGCAGACCTTAAACACGGTAGGACCAACACCTCGGCCGTAGCAGATCATTGTTCTAATTCAGTAGGCTCACATGCCATTGACTTTTCCAAGACGGAGGTTCTTTGTAAGCCATCTGGCTTCCATGAGAGATTCGTTCATGAGGCTATCCACATATACAAACACAGAGACAATTTCAACCGAGAAGATGGATTCTATCTTAGCAATCATTGGAAAGATTTGATAAATCATTTCAGTTCTTGATTGATTGTTCACGCTTACAGTGCCTTTCAGACAGCATACATAAAAACAAATTTCGTCTCCCCCCTCCTCTTTTCAAAAAAAAAAAATAGATGGACTAGTCCTGGCAAACTGCCATCGTTGCGCGTGACGCAAACGTTATTTTTATATATATAAATAAATATGCCGTTTTCAAAATAAATTTATGCAAACCGACACACCTGATGATGACCGTTTGAGTTATGGTCGAAACGTCGTGAGAATTTTTTATTGTTTTATATATATTTTGTTATTTTGTTGTTTCTCTTCAACGTGACTTTACCGAAAAAAACTAAGAATATGAATTACTGCAGTCACGAAAGCTTTAAATCAAAATTTAATCGCCTCTACGGGGAGGGTTTTCACATAACTTTAAGATCTTTCAACAAACTCCGGGATAAGAAAGCTCAGCTGATCGAGTCTCTCACCTTCCTGAAGAGATGCCGCGACTCTGGGGTAATACCAATCGCATTTACACTCACCTCTGCTACTGTAACTTCTTCTAATGCGAAACGAATTCTTTTCAAAACTAGCTTAGCTCTTATCTCAGAAAAAATCAGACTTATACGCACAGAACTAGATCAGTTAGACAAGACACTCTACAAATCACACTTATCATTGACGGCAATAATGTCCACATCGGATTGGGAACATGTAGACAATATGACTGCCTCTTCAGCTGCTACTATGTCGACCAAATGTAAGGAAAACCTGATTTCCAAATTTAACCTCCTCTTAAACAAAAGACCGGACCCACACACCAAAAAGTTAGACGTTAATAAAGTCGTAATTAATCGCAGTAACAGTTCTATTTCCGATGGTCTGAAATCCGTTTTAGCTAAAGGTCTAAACTTTGCAGTCACACCTAAACACATACCAGTTAATGATATAATTGCCCAAGTAGACGTTGCTCTCAGGGGCCTGGGTCACATCGCTGCAGACGTAGCAAGATCTGAAATCGCTGCAACCCTCAAAAACGCTAAGATGCCAGCTAGCAACCTCAGCAAAGATGAGCGTTTTGAATTATATAAATTAAAAAAGAGGAATGATATTGTAGTTCTCTCAGCTGACAAAGGCAATGCTACTGTTATCATGGATAAAATAGAATACAACAACAAAATTAAAGAATTACTCGACGATGGTAGTTATACAAAAATAAAAAGAGATCCCACCAACAGCCTCGTCACACAAACCAACAAAATAATTTCTGATTCAACCGCATTAATTGATCAATCTAAACAGTTTTCGTTGAAACCTTCTGCTGCCAGGCCACCAAGATTATACGGCTTACCAAAAATACATAAAGTTGATACACCTCTTCGTCCCATAGTCTCTACTATCAGCTCCCCCACCTACAAACTAGCTCGTTTTTTGTCTGAAATCCTGCGTCCTTTCACTGGAAAGACCACCTCTGCGGTACAAAATTCTACTCACCTGGTATCAACAATCAAGGGTATTTCCCTGTCCCCAGACGACCTGCTTGTCAGTTTTGATGTAGTTTCCTTATTCACCAAGGTTCCTGTACCTGACACCATTGCAATCATTGAAGACTTGGTTCATCAAGGACTAAACACTGAGGTACCCCCCCTGGTGAGACACTGTTTAACCAATACATACTTCACTTGGAATGGAACTTTCTACAAACAAACTGAGGGCACCCCAATGGGCTCCCCCCTTTCTCCAGTTATAGCTAACATTTTCATGGAGAAATTTGAGACTGACGCCATCCAGACTGCCACTCTGCGCCCAACCTTATGGAAGAGGTACGTGGATGACACTTTTGTCATCTGGCCACATGGCCGGCCTGCTCTAGACCAATTCTTCGACCACATCAATTCCATACACCCAGCCATCAGATTTACCATGGAAGTCGAAATAGATGGCAAGATACCTTTTTTGGATGTCCTAATTAAAAAGAGACCTGATGGTTCAATGAGCCACTCTGTCTACAGGAAAGCTACCCATACGGATGCTTATCTGAAACCGGATTCCCACCACCATCCATCACAGAAGAATTCTCTCATCAAGACTCTGTATCATAGAGCCCAATGCATATCCGACCAGGAACACATAAGCAGTGAACTCAAGCACGTACACCAAGCTCTTAGGGCTAATGGTTACTCCGACTATACAATCCGCAAAGCTATCACTCAAACCATGAAGAAGAACCCTCTTGAGGAGCCTTTCAAAACCATCACTTTACCCTACATTGCTGGGATCACAAAAAAGATCTCCAAAATCTTGAATAAACACAAGATCCAGGTCCGTTTCAACACATTACATAAAATCCGTGATCTGGTTCCGTCTGTAAAAGATGTGATTCCGGACATACAATACCCTGGTGTCTACAAACTAAGTTGCCTCTGTGGTAGTAGTTACATTGGAGAAACCAAACGCCATATCTCGGACCGCATTCGTGAACATAAAGCAGACCTTAAACACGGTAGGACCAACACCTCGGCCGTAGCAGATCATTGTTCTAATTCAGTAGGCTCACATGCCATTGACTTTTCCAAGACGGAGGTTCTTTGTAAGCCATCTGGCTTCCATGAGAGATTCGTTCATGAGGCTATCCACATATACAAACACAGAGACAATTTCAACCGAGAAGATGGATTCTATCTTAGCAATCATTGGAAAGATTTGATAAATCATTTCAGTTCTTGATTGATTGTTCACGCTTACAGTGCCTTTCAGACAGCATACATAAAAACAAATTTCGTCTCCCCCCTCCTCTTTTCAAAAAAAAAAAAATAGATGGACTAGTCCTGGCAAACTGCCATCGTTGCGCGTGACGCAAACGTTATTTTTATATATATAAATAAATATGCCGTTTTCAAAATAAATTTATGCAAACCGACACACCTGATGATGACCGTTTGAGTTATGGTCGAAACGTCGTGAGAATTTTTTATTGTTTTATATATATTTTGTTATTTTGTTGTTTCTCTTTAATAATTTAAATTCACGTACAAGATCACAGAGCAGCCAACAGTGTAGGAGCAGCTCTGGTAACAGCAGTCGCCCGCTACATATGGATGGCTACCGAACACGTTGCGTAAGTGATTCGCCACCATTACATCAATGGCGTCACGTAAGAGTTACACATCATTACAGAGCGGTTCCCATATGACCACGGGAGAACAATCGCGTACGACCCCGTGTCCCTGGACGTTCCGCGGAAGGCCGCAGCAGGTCAGATGAAACTGCTTATTGTGTTCAGTTTCCCCACACCTCCGATGAGCACGGTTGGCTACGTGCTGCGCGAAAAGAAGTTCAACATGTGCACAGAGACACACGCGCCACTCACTCTTCATGTGCTCCAGGTGCGCGTTGCCGAGGGTGCTGGCCTCCGTCTCGTCGGTGGGCACGCGCGCGTACAGCGTGCTGCCCGTGTCCGTCATGCTGCCGATGCGGCGTCGCGAGCTCAGGCTGTAGCCGTGGGCCGCCGCCCCTGACGACGGCGGCGGCGGCGGCGGTACCGCCGCGCGGCACGCGCCATGCGCCACCCGTGCCCGCTCGCTGCACCGCCGCCATGGAAAAAAACAAAACAGCGCCGCGCCAAAGACGACGTCAAGCGCAGATCTCCGATGCGTTTTCAAGTTGTACCGACCCACGCGCGTTGTTCGGCAGGACGTCCGACGTGTCGCTCCACGTACTGGAACTGGAGAACTGAAGAAGCTCCCCAGCGCGGGGAGAAGTTCCGGGCACGCGAAGCAAGTTCCTTGGACAACATGCCACGTTTTGGGAGATTATTTAGAAACTGAAGGAGCTCCCCCAGTACGTGGATCAAAATGTCGGACGTCGTGGCAAATCAGTCGTGCGGTACAGCCCGAAAACACGTCGGTGAGCTATACGGCACGGCCGCAAGAACCTACACAGCAGACAAGGTCACGTAGTTGGCGGACAAACGGCATACCTCTCTGTTCTTCTTCCGCTTGAAGTCAAAACAGACGCAACGCAATGCACCTAATACTCCATCATACACGTGAGGCACAAAACACCGGGCCCCATTCATAACGGTAACGCGCTCTCTACCGTGAAAAGCTCATAAATATTTCAGAAGCAGCTATCGTTATGCGCGTGTCTCATACCAATTTCTCCTCATCTTACTTAGCCTCTTACTCTTGAGGCCACAGTAATAGCAAGGTTTACATCTGCGGGACACACAATGGGCATTGCAACTCATCGCACACGCAGAATCGAGAAAGTGTCAGCAGGCAGCACCTCACCTCACCCCACCTCTCCAAGCTTCACCAAAGAAACCCATTAGAAGCAATGCGCACACACACACACATGAACAGTGGGTTTTTTTTACTCAAATTTCGTTATATTTATGCATCTTAATGGCACAGTGCAAAAAACCTCACATTTAACGGTCTGTTACATTTTTTTAAAAGAGAATAATAGGGCCTCAGGTGGAACTTGTGCTTCCTTGTTCATGAAGGTCAAGACATATTTTGGTAACTGCCAGACTAGCGAAGGCGTGAAGGGGGGGTAGACCGAGTTAGAATTTACACTCGGAGGTTGTGGCTATCATCTCCACTCTGCTCACCCCTCATGCTCTTCGTTTGCTCGCTGGGGTGACGCTCGCCGCCGTTTTTCCCCATCGTCTTCGGGAGATTCCTCCTTCCGGGCGTCTCCGCAAGCCGCACCAATGCCCTCCTCCTCGTCATCGCCTAGGCTGAACTACGGGCGAGATAAAAGCAACGCGCGGCCACTTCACACCACCGGCAGAATGGCCAGGCTGCAACTTCGTGGCGACACGGCTCGATCGGGAAACGTACGGTGACGGGAGAAGACGCGTCCTTGTAGCCGTCGCCCGCCTTGCGCTCGCACTCCTGCTCAAGATGGGCGGCCTGCTCCCCTTGCTCCGCGTCCCCGGTGATCTCCATCGCGGCATCCGTCGCCCCCACCGGGCTCGTCGCGTCCGCCTCCTGACCCTCGGCGATGGTGGGGGTGTCGGGCGGCCGGGCCTTGCCGCGTCGCTGCGCTGCCTTACCAGCAGCGGCCGCCCCCTGGGGCGCCCCATGGCCCTTGCGTCGGTGAGACGAGAGGGCGGGGAGGTGCGAGGAGAACGCCTTGTGGATGTTGTGAGACGAGTGGCGGTGGTCTGCGGGGTAAGCGGGGGGACAAGGGAGCACGGCGCAAAACGATTAAGGAATATAATAGACCCAGAAAGATGAGAAAGTCCAATGTACACTTAATGCTGCGACAGGGTATATTTTGAGTTCACTTAAGCAATGGTAAATACAGTGAAACCTTGTTATGTTGTTGTGCATTTTACTGTATTCCATTGATGCAATTACAGTCAGTGCTCCGATTTAAAGTTTTCCACATCTAACCTTAAATTTGGCTCCTGTCCCTTGAAAAATGTTACGTTGAGGTTTTGCTGTAAACAATGCAAAATATTTTGGATTTATATTGTATCTACATTCAGCCATATCTCCAAATGCTGTATAAAAGCATCGTGGGGAAATTACTGAAAACATTGAACGCGAAACCCTACGTATTAAACGTGGAGCTCGCTGTCTGATTTCTGGTCTGTGCGGCACATTGCCCAGTGCGGAGTCGCCTACACTGGTAGTCGTCCTCGTTGAAGTTCCTCCTCACGTCGCCGGGCAGGGTGGCGTGTGCATCGCTGATGATGCTATCGAAGGAGCGATCCCGAGACAGGGCCCGGCCCAGGTCCTCTTCTTCTCCTCTTGCCAGCGGAGCTGAGGCCCCCGCACACCTCTCTGACTGCAGCAACAGTGACGGCCGCTATTCACCACGAAGTGTGGAAGTGATGTCACCATGGTGAATGTGCCAAGCTAAGGTGCTCTTTCGAGGCACCATGAAATTTTGAAGGATCCCCGTGTTACAGCTTAGCCGACAGACGGTTGGCCGGTGGTGCATCTGCACACGACACTGTGTGTGCACTGGTGGTCACCATCCAAATAACCACTAACCAGAACACACACTCCTGAGGCACTATTAAAGAAATTTGTTCACATGGAGAAATGCAGGGAGACACGACTGTGCATGACGATGAGGGGAGGATCATGTTGCTGTAAGCACACTGCCATACAAACCCAGTGGCCCGGGTTCGATTGACACCTACGGCCAACACCAGTGACAATTATCTGAACCAGTACTGGGCCTCTTCTAGGTCGACTCGGACTGAAATGAGTACCCGGTGCGGTGTGTAAACATCGCCACGAGGGAGACAAAGGTGACCAGGCGTGGTGCTGGCCAATCACCCCCTCGTGTGCTGTGCAGGCCTTCATAGGTGTTCGCGAAGAGCACTTGCCCCAACCGTTTGTTAAGGCTACAATGCGGGATCTTTGTCTTTGTGCACTTGGAGGAGGAGGCGAGTGTGTGATCGCATGCACATAGGCACAACAAAACCGGCACAGCCAAGGTGGGCCGCTCCGTAACACAGGTGGCGGTGATGAAAACCAGGGGAAAGGAAACCTTGGTGAGTTTTCACAAAGGCAAGGGCCACAGTTTGTAAGGTCATCTGAGAAGAACAAGAGTCGATTCACTTAATATATTTTGCTTTTCTTCTCTCAAAACAAATTGGCATGACGTGGTGGGGTATGACGCCACCTGTCCGTTACACCCACTGCAATGGACAGGGAGCCTGGGCCCCTGTAGGGCTTGGCACAGTTGTGCCACCTGCACACATTGAGAGCTACGTCACTGCTTAAAAACATGTTTACTTTTTGTGTCAGTCGGCGAAAATATGAATAACACCAACACGAGCGTGGTGAATATGGACTGCGCGAGCACACTAAATGTCTTTCTCTCCATCAATTCATGCCGGGGACGTGCAAACACACACACACACCGCGCACCCGAAACACAATACATGCAGCTCAAATGTTGTTGTTAAGCGGTCCGACAAGCGCGTTGCGCGATGTAAAGGGACACCAAGGACACTCTTCGATTCACAAATTCACAATGGCTGATATACCAGCGACCAAACTTGTGTTCCAGAGTGAACGCTCTTGTTCCCGCAAGGCGGTGTTCCCACCAGCCCCATAGCGATGGGGAGGGGGGGGGGGGAGATCGAGGATGGAGGTGCCACAAGCAACTCTCCCTTGCTGAAGGCTCAGCCCCCTCCCCATATAAATTCTTATAGTAAAGTCAAAAACAAGCAAAACTAAAGCGACGGATGTCGCAGCCTTTCCCCGTATCCAGAAGGGGTGAGAGCAGAATGCATGATGGATAAAAAGCAGATCGTACTGTTACTCATTCTGCATAGCGCTCTTTTGATATTTGTTTATAGTTTGTTGTGGCCCCACTTAAACTCAACAGACACCAACAGTCACAGGAAAGTAGGGGATTGGGTCGCTCGTGGGAGTCTCATAATGGCCATGGTGAGAGTACTTTGCCAACGTCGATAAGAGTAACGGTTTGATTCCAAACGGCAAACCGCAAATACATAACGTTCTCAGGTGAAGTGCATTATTGAGCTCAGCCTGGTCATGTATGATTGGACAATTTTTGGTTTGAATTAAATTGATCACAAATTGGCAACGCCCAGTTTGGAGACTCATAATCCATCTCAATGATACATAATTGAATAGACGTACAGCCCTTTGTCAATCCACTGCTGGATGAAAGCCTCCCCACATAATGTCAGATTCGTGCAGATTCATGCAGATTTGTGAAGGGGGACCAGGACCATTCAGATACTGCTCGCCATTAACGGTATAGCCGTGGCCGGGATTCAAATTCAGGTCGCCAGGTTCATAGCACGGTGTGTGAATCACACCGAGCTGACCGTGGACAGTGTGCATTGCTAAATGTCCCACGGTCTAGGCTTCACACTTGGGGTGATCATTGCCTTTGCAATTGCGGTACCCAAACTAACGCCTTGCCTTTTGAGGTCAGGACTTCCGAGACACTTAAAAAATCTTCAAATCGCGACGAATAACGCATATGTTTAAAATGGCTTTCTCTCTTTAGTTATTTTCAACCGTCTTTCTCACTAATTCTTGACTTGGTTGTTAACTAATTTCCACCTTGCCATTATAGCGCCCCGAGAACGATTGTTTAAGGGTGCTTTATAAATGTTAATTATTATCATTGCGCCACAGCTTCACCCCATACCTCATGATATACCTACACAGACACATGTGTAAGGACAGGCCTAGTGGCCGTAAATCATCATTGAAGCGACAGGGACAGGCAGGGTCATGTAAGGACAGTACGGGAAGCGGGTCGCCTTGTCGTCTTGGAAGACCAGAGGGAGATTATATATCGTCGCTGTAGCTGCTACTCCATCGGCTCCGATATAGTCAGCCAGATATATAGGTGAACGTCGTTTATCAGTTACATAAAGTTACCCACTGTACAGTCAACTCGCGTCTACCCGTTAACATGCCATCGAGTCAGACGGATCATAATAGACAATATATATACATACAGACAGTGTCTCTGAGTGCTACATTACACATGTAAAAAAAATACTTTTTGGATGTTTTTTTCACCCAATGTTGATAGAAACAGGGCATGTGACAGGATGCTACCATAGTCGAGAGAAGTGTGACTCAGAGAATGAAAGTGGACTCGACGATGATTATTCACGAGGGACAGATGGGAGTTTATATTTCGCACGCCAGGCTATAGACACAATTTAATTAATAACAAACAAAACAAAAATATGACAACACAAATTATTAATCCACATTAACATTTCCCAAAATGTCATGTTAAGACGTTTTTTAAATCAAATAAATCAATTAAAATTGTTTATTTACAAAAAAGGACTAATTGGCCACACAATTAAATGTTTACAAGTGATTTCAGATTTATTTTATTTTATTGATTTCAGCAGCAAGGGCCCAATGAGCTGCTAATCTTGGTTTCATGAGCATCCTGCGATAGAATAAATGTTGTCCAGCACAGATCTTAGTGATACAATCACGGTTACATGGGTCGTGATACAAACAGCGAGTATCGGTCTGTGCTCTACATGTTACAGGTATAGGGAACTGGTTTAAAACATAAACAAAAACAAGACTACATTCTTTTACGAACAAAAATAAAGATAATTTAACTAAGCAAACACAATAATTAACCAGAAACTTTTAAGTACAATCCTGACAGACTTGAGCTTAAGTTTCCCCAGCAGATTATATTATTTAGGTCATCTACATCTATGAAGGAACTTTAGATTCATGAGTGAATGGATGTTTCCTTACGGTCGGTAATTAGTGAATTCCCAAGTGGTGGAGTGATTCACTCCGACCGTGGTGATTCAATGAATTGTCACAATTAAAAAATATATTATTTTTGTTGGTGAATGTAGTGGCCTTTAGTGGATGCAGCGGATACATGTGTAGTGACATCGCGGATGTCACTGTGTGGTGCTGGCCCTAGAGAGGCACGGCGTGCGATGCACTCACATCGCGGACATCACGTGTGTAGCGACATCGTGGAAGTCACTGGGTAATGCCGGCTCTCGCGAGGCACGGCGTGCGATGCACTCACATCGTGGACATCACGTATGTAGCGACATCGTGGATGTCACTGGGTAATGCCGGCCTAAGCGTGGCGCGGCGTGCGATGTATTGCCATAGCAGACACCCCGTATATGTGGGTGTAGTACCAGCCCCAGAGGGGGCTCGGTGAGCGCTAGGTCATAGCGCTCAGTGGCAGCACGCGTGGCGTGCAGCGCTGACTCCTACAGGATGGAGTGTGAGAGTGTCAGCCACGGGATGAGGTTACCCCAGGCCATGGCACTCTGGTTGACCCTGGAAGGCACGTGATGAGTAAGATCTACACAGGGGCCCCAAGTGGGGGCTGGGGGTGGTCACGTGCCAGGGCGAGATCCTGCCAGAGGATTCGAGAAGGTGGTCGTGGCCAAGGGCGGAGCCAGCCACGGCCAGCGGGCATATAAACCGAGTCCCCGAGAGGGACCGGGGTTCAGTGTTGCTGTTGTCATCTGAAGATCTACACGTTCTGCATCCAAGAAGAAGTCACCAACACGTGGACCTGGACCCAAGCTGGGGTCCGGTCCGTTTTAGCTACTCCCAGTGTAACTAGTGTAGTTAGCCTGGTGGTTACGTAGCTAGTTACGGTGTAATTAGTGTAGTTAGCCTGGTGGTGCACCACCATAGGGTGTTATCTGGTAAAGGGGCAGTGACCACTTTGTGTTGAGTGTGTTGGAATCAATAAATGTGTTGCCTCCAAAGAATATGTCTGCGACTCAGTTGAATCCACGACACACATGCAATATGTACAAATAAAAAAACATTGGGTCTTACAAATGTGATTATATGCAGGTATTAGGAGGTTAAGGAATACATAAATTAATCTGTGCATCGCCAAGTCCGTAATTTTTACCCAAAAAATACACACGCTATTACCGTCATTTGTCAATTTCCAAGCAAATGTGGGCTGAGCATGAGTCCATCATGAAAAAATCAGCCTACTGTCCCATGCAAAGCTCTCAAAAAGCAAGCAAGGAATTAATACAATGTAATTAAATATACTACAAAGCATTTACTAAAATGGGAACAGCTCCATTAAGGTATGAATAAATAAAATGCATGTCACAGAATGTGGAATCGGACGAGGAAATGTGCTTTCACGAGACAACAGTGACCCCAAATACTTATACACGGATCAGGGTGCAGGACGATGAGGAATGCGGACAAATAAAAGTAATCTTGATTTGAAGCTTTCGTGACTGCAGGCATCCATACTCTTTGGTTCTTTCGGGAAAGTCACGTAGGTGACTTTCCCGA